TATCATGTTTTGGCCAAAATTAAACCATTCAACATGGCGAACTTAAGCATAAACGTCGAAGTAAACTTCATTGGGTAACGTGGAAGTTCGCTTGCTCTATGCTTTCGCTTTAAAGATAGATATCCAAAAACCTAGCGTACTTTGCTAATGCAGTGTGTTCGAGCATGAATTTCCATTATTACCCATGATATTACCCACAAAATAGTTCGTCACGCGAATAGCGTACGAAATAATGGTCATCCTAGCATCATCGCGATCATTTTACTTGCTATGATGCCTCCTTCCTCTTCACTCGCCCCTTCCGCTCCTTCCTCTTCTCTTGCCCCTCCCTCCCGCTCCGCCTGCTCCTTCCTCTTTACTCCCGGTCCACTCGCTTCTTCCGGCTCCGCTCTGCCTCGCCCCGCATGGGAGGATAAAAACGCATCTGGGTGTTGTTAGGGTGATTTTATTGCTTTTTCTGATTCAATTTTAAGATCTTCATATTTCTAATTAATTTTAAACTTCATCAAAATAAAGTCGATGATTAGTGAAAAACGGGATAGATTCCAATGCAATAATCATTTAATATTGAAACTCGAAGTTTATAATCTTTCTTGTCGACTCTGCTATGCTTCACACACAGTAAATATTGTTTTTCCCAAACGTTATACCCTATTTTTACTGGTTTCGACGTTAAATGGACAAAGAGGTAGAGGGATAGATGTGAGGAGTCAGAACAAAACGCTAAATGTTCATGTTTTTCTTTTTCAATGAAAGTAAAGATATCTAAAATTAACCCTTTACGATGAATGGGTTATTTGGTTTGCTCTTTTAAAATAAGACTTGATGTTTCTTTGTGGAGATAGTCGTAAATAGCTATTCTCATTCAACAGTACAAAAATAAGCAAAATTTATCGATGATGGACTTGTGATCCGGACAATTTATTAATTAAAACCCTTATAACTTAAAATCCTTGGAAGTGTGGGTCTGGCTTTCCACGAATATGGGCATGCGCAGCCTAATACGAGACCAACTTTCTGGGCTCTAGACCCTCTTTTCCATTGAATGAATTTTATTTTATGTGATATATTTTTACTAGAAATTAAATAAAACTACCTCAAGGAGAATGAAATTTTAACTTTAATGACTAACAAATTCTTATGAATAAATTCGTTTTCCCATACAAAAAATGGAGGTAATATATTTTAGTACTTAACGCGTAAATCACTGGGTTTGTAGTATTACTTTTCTTTTTGCACTAAAGTGAGATGTCCTTTTAATTGATAGTGCATCTGACTTCTCTGCCCGAAAGTTCCCTCATGTTGTGAAAATGGAAACCTGAACGTCTTGACGTTTTCGCAGCGGAAAATGCGGCATGTGTAGAGAATTGCCTATCGCCACATCGTGGATGGAAACATCTCTCTATTTCTCCTTTTTTTTCTCCCAAAGCTGACTTGGCTGATTTGAAGGAGTTCTTAGTTTTTGGAGAGGTTCGTTCTATGAGAGTAAGTGTCCAGAAGGACAATTTCGTGATGTATTATTTCATTAAACATTCAAAGCTGAATTAACCACATGGGTAAGGAATGGTCCCTAGGTTTGTTCTCCCAGACATAAATGTACAGCTTGTCCTCCCCTCTTAAAACGTTACTACTCTAAATGTATGTAAATTCAGTGGTTAGGCGGAAGAGCAGGCCCTATGGCCTGAGCCTCGCCATTAATAAAGACATTATTATTATTAAACATTCCGGACCTCCTCACTTTTTCGAAAATTGCTATGCCTCATGAAAACAGTGCGGTCGCCAGGGGTCTGCAAGAAGTTACGTCCACCAAAAACGGGTCGATCTCCAGCAGATCCATGCCATTCTAAGAACAGGCGTTAATAATATATCTGCTTTGGATTTTTAATGAAATAAAATAAAGTAGTAATCTATGTGTGTCCTTGCGTTAAACACACTTAGACCTCTTCCGGTTCACAATTCGGTTGATTGTTTCAAGGCCAGGGTTCTTGGGCAATGGTTCCATTAATATTGTGAATGTTTTATCTCGAGAGGTGACCATTCCTTCCGCTCTGGAGTGAGACCCGGCGCCGACCTAAATGTCGGCTTGCGGGGTATCTCCCCCAGAGGGACACCGCTCTAGCCGGGACAAGCTCGAAGTTCCTGACCGGAATTCCGGCATGAGTTATTGTGTACTGTATGAAAGTGTGTGTGTGCGTGAGGAGAGAGGACAGGACAAGGGCGAGGAAGGAAACATCGCGCGCAGGCCGTGACCCCTTCCTTAGGGTACTGCTCTGGCATTCGCCTTGTATTGTTCGGAGAGCCAAGGAAAACTACCGATCAGAATAGTCGGTCGCTTACCGAATTATCCTACAAACAGTGGTTGAAATCGACCAAGTTTTGTAACTAGTATACACCTCTCGTAGGCTACTACACCATACTTATTCAGGGGGCACAAGTCCCCACGCCTTTGTCCGCACCCTCTGCCGGCGCACAAGTACGTCGAAAGGCTGGTATCCCGATCCCGCCGGAACGCAGTTTGCCCTCACGGCAACCGCCCCATTCAATGCTTGGGTTGGGGCCGCCGTGCCTGCTTAGAGCTACTAGCTTTCCAGGCTAGCACTAGAGTCTAATCAATGCGCCACTCACATGCGCCGGGAACTATTCCCTCTTTGTCCTGAGTATCGGCCCACTACACGACGAAGCCTGGAGTCCAACAGGGGACCACCCAACAAATGTTATGGGTAGCTTGGGGGCACCTTCCCGTCTCCTCTTTGCCTAAACCTTTGGGCTAGTGACGTGAGTTTCGCCAGAACTTAATTCTTCAGAACTTAAATGGTCGACGCGCCAGGGGCCCGACTGGTGGGTCAAGCCCAACAACCAGGAGCTTAGCATCGCCCACTCACTGCCTCCACCTTGAAGCTAACGACGTGAGTTTCGCCGTGTAACTCAGGATCCGGGGGGTTTCCGCCAGAAATCGCTACCACATGCGCGCAGACGCGATTCTCCCTGCGGGGCCGTGGAACTAGTGCCGAGAACCCGCCGCTGCAGTCAGTGGCGATGCTAGTTCTGAGCTGGTGGTCGGGAAGAAGTACGTTCACGACGAAGGATATGAACACCAGCGGATCCATTCCATTCTAAGAAAAGACATAGATAACCTTTCTTACTTTGGAGTGTTAATGAAATAAAAATAATCCGATAACCTAAGTGTGTCCGTCTGTTATTCATTGGTTAGTCTGCCTCCAGTCTACGATTCAGAACAAGCGAGGCATATTTTGATACGTTTCAAACTGTTGGTGGGGAACTGACTTTTTTTGAACCTTTCTGAACTTCCTAAGAGAAATTCCCCAAAAATATAATTAGGAGAGAGGTTAAGCATTTAAAACCCATATGGGCGGGGGGGAAGGGTGGTCAAGACACCTATATACAATGGTGAAACTCTGAATTACTGCACTCCCTTTCCAGCATAGTATGAGCCATTAAGTCTTGATGATGATAATAATACCTAATTTTGTAAATTAACAAATATTTTGTTAAAGTACTTTTTCCAATTTTTTTGTATGCATCTTTTAATCCCCTATTATTCAAATGTTTAAAATTAATTTTTTCACATTTATTACTACACAAATAATTCAACACACAAATGAAGGCTCCACATGTAGCTAGTAAAATAATATCAATCTACATTTAAAATATTAATTTCTGAATTAAAATTTTAGCATATTATGTTTTTTTGGTTTGTTATTAAAGCATCAGTATACTAATAGTAATAGTAATAATAATAATAATAATAATAATAATAATAATAATAATAATAATAATAAAGAAATATATAAATATGTAAATAAATAATTTAAAAAAATAATAAAAAAAAAACTAGAGAGGGAAATGAGACTGCAAAAAATTTTCATCCCAGCTGCTTCAGCCAACACTACATATGCCTCTGCTTTTCCATGAACTAAGCACGATGTGCCATTCTTGTACCTTTCAGATATCCAGTCATGACTGTTAATGTGAATGTTAAAGTATTGTAAATGTTTTGAAAGTTACTACAATTGACTTCGGTTATAGTGAACTCTAATGTAGTGATCCCTCAGTTATAATGAACTTCAGTCCCTGGTCCCATTTCACTTGCATTACAATTAAGTATAAGATTATTAGGTTATAGTGAACCTGAGCCTCTGCCATAGTGAACATAGGAAATACAATGTAATGGAAATAAAATCCCTCTGAGAGAAGAACATATTGCCTCAGTGAGAGAAATTCCAGCACCAGGCAGCTTGGAAAAATATCACTAGCCAAACCGAAGAACTCTCCCCTGCGGTGAAGGAAGCGGACCTGGAATGGGGACCTTACGCCACTCAGTTTCACTGTGGAAACAAAGGCCATCTCCTGCGTGGGCTGGAACTGGCGGTGGCTACAACATGCAATTGCTTACTTCAAATTCAAACTTCAGAAGGATCTAGAGAAATTACTAAGGAAAAATGTACAAAGCAAACAATTGAAAATAATTAATTTTTTAGGTCAAATAAAGATATTGCAATTTTCAGTTCATGTTGTTAATGTATTTTGTTGTATCTCTATAATAATAAAATCAATCATTGTGGAGAAATTCTATTTAATTTTGACATCTTTTGGTATAGTGAACCAAAAATGTTAATCTCCAGATGATCACTATAACCGGAGTTGACTGTATATAATTTGTATTCCTCAAAGGTTCAATTTTAGTTCAATTTTTGGGGCATGTTATTTCAGAATGATTTAAATATCTCAATGTTTTCATGACTTTGCCTTCCTTTTCTTCATTAAGATTAATGCTGAAGTGTCCATGACATGATTTGTTAATGTTTTTAAATGACATGATTTCAAATGTGGGGAGTTGCATGTGTAAACCTTTAATTTGTTACTGCCAAGCATTGTAATAATCTTGAAAACTGCTTTAATTGTGCAGTTATTAGATTGCTGATTTGTATGTTCATTTTTGTTTAATATATTATATTTAATTTTTTTATTTCCTTTTTCAGGCAAGAATGGAGGTTGATGATCTATTTGTAGATCTTGCGGATGGCAAGAAGCTCCTCAAACTTCTGGAAATAATTTCTGGGGAGAAGTTGGGAAAACCCAATAATGGGAAAATGCGTGTACATAAAGTAGAAAATGTAAATAAAAGTTTGGCATTCCTTCACACAAAGGTATGTATAATGCACCTACAGATTTCAGTTGTTTTGGAATGAGTGGAGTGGAATCGGTCAACAGTAAACGATTTCATTAGCTTTAGTAATTCAAATTTTGTAGATTATAAACTCTAAATATGAAAATTATCACTACTTGCTTTGATATACTAAAATCTGATTAATATACATTCCTTATACAGCTATTATGATTATTTATATTTTGCAAATAGGTACATTTAGAAAGTATCGGTGCAGAAGATATTGTGGATGGAAACCCTCGCTTAATATTGGGTCTTATTTGGACCATAATTCTACGTTTCCAAATCCAAGAAATCGAGATAGATGTGGTAAGTAGGTCAATCTTGTGCCAAATGTTGATTGTGCTTGTATGTTGTCTGAAAAATTTGCTGAATGTTGTATTAAAACGATTCTCAGGATGAAGAAAATGAAAGCAGTGAAAAGAAGTCCGCTAAAGATGCTCTACTGTTATGGTGTCAACGCAAGACAAATGGATATTCGGGTGTTAATATTCAGGACTTTACAGGTAAGCTTAGTAATTTTACAAGAAAATTGTGACATTAAGAATGGTTACAATAAAGTGTAGCAAGAGGATTGAAAGTGATATTGCCACACTCTCTAATGAGTGGTGGCCTAAGGCCAGGTATGTTGTATAGGACCAATGGGGTTAAGAGGAAGGACTGGGAATGGGACTGAGATCTGCTAATGCCAACTTTCTGCCATCACTGTAACAAATTCTGTGATACGTAGGCCTTCAATTCCCATTCCAATCACTCATGCTGACCAATTTTTTGTTCTCCAGATGGTAAAATCTACACTTACGATATTAGATAAATGTAATATGTTTGAATGTAATGATGAGTTAAAATATATGGGGTGAAAAATATATTATACCGATGTATAATTTAACTGTTTGATAAGTTGTGTAAACGCTGTATTAACTTACAAAGAAAAAACAACTCTCTACAGGATCATGGAGAAATGGGCTTGGGTTTAATGCCTTGATCCATGCACATCGACCTGATCTCATTGATTATACCTCTTTGCATCCTGGAAGGCACATTGACAACTTAAATAATGCATTTGATGTGGCCAACACAGAATTAGGAATACCTCGACTGCTTGATGCTGAAGGTAAGACCTTTTGTTGCTTTGAAGTGCAAACCTATGCAATTTGAGAGAATATCTGAATGAGGTTTTATTCTAATCTATTTTTAAATAAGAAAGTAATACAGGTGAATTGCTATGTAACATTAAAAAGTGATTATGATAATCATGACGAGTATTAGCCTACCTTCCTTATGAATACTGCTCCTCCAAAGGATAGGATTAAATTTAGAAAAATATGTCTTGCATATACAATGAAATCAAATAGTTTGTAATACTTCAGTATTAAATGTATTATAAGTTTAATTTCATTAATATCAGTCTACTTCTTGAAAATTCATTCTCACAACTACTTTTCAGATGTTGATCAAAGCCGTCCTGATGAAAAATCCATTATCACCTATGTTGCCTCTTATTACCATACATTTGCTAGGATGAAAAATGAAATGAAAAGTGGTAGACGAATTGCTAATGTAAGTATTACTGAAGGGTATTTCTCCTCTTAAGTTATTAAATTCTTCTAAATTGTTAAAAGCAAAATATAAAATTAATTTTAAATAATGTGCTGTTGAACAATATTCTTTTTAATATAAAGTTTGATTTTGAATGAAACTGATTGAAAATCTTTTGATTCGAAGAGGGTGAGAGAATTGTTCCACCTAGAAATGGTACGTATAGGTAGAGTGAGAGCAATTTCCATATATAATATCTATCCTTGTGCAGTGTAATTTATTATTTGGTTCTCAGTCACTACCGACAGTGCTACTTAATAAATTGAAGTTGTTGTTACTTTTTAAATGTTTATTACTTAATTGTTGTTATAGACTTCTAGTGAAGAAGGATAAGTGAGAGAAGTATAGCCTAAAGTATTTGTTTTTATGAGACATTGATTGCACCAAAACTTCCCATATCTTTTGCAGATTGTTGGACAGATGATTGACGCAGACAAGATGAAAGTCCATTATGAACAATTAACCACCGATTTATTGGAATGGATTCGACAGAAAGTATTGGAATTGGAAAATCATAACTTCCCTAATTCATTAGAAGGAATTCAGAGAGAACTTTTAAGATTCAAACAATACCGAACCATCGAGAAGCCACCGAAGTAATTACTCCCTTTGGAATTTCTAATTAGTCTTTTAAAAATGTATTTAGTGTTGTTTGAAATTTTTTCCCCAAATGTTCCATGAAAGTCGCACCAATTCTTGAAATGAAATTATGTAATTCTTTTGTTGTTGTTTTCTTTTTTAGGTACAAAGAAAGAAGTGAAATTGAAGCTTTGTATTTTCATATTAATACTCAACTCAAATCACTGAATCAACCAGCTTTTGCACCTCAAGATGGTCAGTTAATTCACGACTTAGAACGAGCTTGGGAAGGATTAGAACGAGCGGAACATTTACGTGAAGTAGCCTTGCGGCAAGAACTTCTTCGGCAAGAGCGTCTTGAGCAACTAAATTATAAATTTGAAAGAAAAGTAAGTAAACACTTCAAAATAATTTCAAGGGCTATCTTTCAAATTGCTTTCTTTATTTATAATAATTTAAATTGTTGTAATAATTTAATCAGTGCTGTAAATTTTTCTTTAGGCTAAGTTTCATTTGTAAGAAAATGTATTATCCAGTACTTTATTAATTATCAATTATCAATTTAAAGGTTTGGGCCCAATACACAATAACCTACATGGAAATGCTTTCAAGTTACTAGTGGGTGAACATATTAGTTTATAGAGTGTAAGTGTGTCACTTAAAAATGGCAACTGGGAGCCAACTATGTGCTATAAATTGAACAATTGGGATTTCACACTGCTTGAACTATAAATTGAAAGACCCAAAAATCTTGACATCAAATCAAATAATTTTGAGGGTTATCATTTTTTAGGTCCAAGCCTTTTTATTTTAGATTTCAGAAATTTATTTGTCAATTGGTGGGTTTTAATTTGTAATGCAAATAGTTTTTATTACATAAAAGTAAATATTCCTTGAATTGATTAATGGATACAATGGTTTCCTGGGTTTTGTTTTGTAGAGTGTCCTTCGGGAAGGCTACTTGAAAGAAATGATCCAGGTTTTATCAGATCCTCGCTATGGTAGCAACTTAAGTCAAGTGGATGCCACAGTTAAAAAACATGAAGCAATTAGTGCTGATATTTTGGCTCGAGAAGAACGTTTTCATGATCTTACTGCAATGTCAGAAGAACTTGTACGTGAAAATTATCACAGTAAGGAAAGAGTACAGAAGCGCAGTGCTGAAGTATTAGCTCGTTGGGCAGAGCTTTTGCAATTGTTGGACAAGCATAAGACAAACCTCACTATGCAGAGCAACCTAATGGGCACTTTGAGAGAAATCGATACAGTTATGGCTACCATAGCAGAGTTGCAAGTGAATTTTCAATCGGGGGATGTTGGTCAACACTTGTTAGCTGTTGAAGACCTTCTCCAGAAACATGCTTTAGCTGAACTTCAAGTCACTTCCTTAGGAGAAACACAAAGAAGATTGGGTCGTCAGGCTCAACAGTATGAAGGCCAAGGAGGTCGTGAAGGAGTTCTTCTTCAACAGCGATTGGAGCAAATGAATGCTGAATATGCCAAGTATGATTTAGTTTTATTACTTTCAAGTAGTAATTAGCAAAACTGAATGTTTTGGAAGTTAAATATTTATCTTCTTGAACTTTTCTTCAAAAGCTAGTATTTGACAAAACATTCAGAAAGGATTTGTATGATATTTCATTTCCTTCAAATTCATAAATTATTCAGGTTGCAGGAATTCTTTAATAAACCATTATGTCTAATTTTTATCATATTTGGAGATATGCTATTGATAGTTATTCTTAAAAAATTATCATTTTAATCTGATCAAGCATGCCTGCAAATTCTTGTAATTGTGAACTATTTGTACCACTTCTAATACCTTTAATTAGTTTTTATATTAAATCTTAATTGTATTAATTGTCTTGGAATTGTTTCAAATGTCTTGCAGCATCAGATGTTCTAGTCTGTAAATTTTAATTGTACTTCTGTCTGATTACATACAAAATAAAACCATGAACTTAAATTGGAAAAATTTTCTTTTTGTTTAGCTTAATAGAAAGTAATAAGGCTCGCAGAGCTCGATTAGAAGATGCTCGAAATTTCTACCAATTTGTTCAAGATCACGAAGATGAAGAGTCCTGGTTGATTGAGAAACAAAGAATATGTAAAGCGGGAATCTCAGCCAAAGACCTTCGAGCAGTACTGAGTCTTCAACAAAAACATAAGGTTTTTGAATTAAAATTTATTCATATTATCATTTGCCTTATCTTTCCTAAAACATTTGATTTCCTGTATTATAAAATTCAAATTAGATGTGTTTGCATGGCTTAGTAAGGAATGATCGAAGAAGTTGGAGACTTTTTGTTTGCATGATATTTATTGCTCTTTTGCATGATTTGTTTCTCTTTATAACTTTAACCAAAATAAATGACCTCTTCACTTGCGGTGCATGACTTTACCAAATAAATGACTTCTTCATCTGTGGTGCATGATTATTAACGGTGATTCAATGAAGGAGACAAAATATCAGGTATGGCATCATATTCTGTGTACCTTTGTTTTTTAGTTCATGTTTGTTAGTATCCTTCCCAATCTGAACTGTGTAATTAATTGTAACTATTTTGTTTTATAAAAACATTGTAATTATTCTTTGTTATTCCTGTAATATTCACCTGATAAATAACACCCTTTTGTGTAATCCTGTTAATTTACATGTTTTTAGTTCCTCTGCATGTAAGAAACTGTCATTATTAACTTTTTTAACATTGGGAAAGAGATGCATTGTAGGCTGTAAGGGTGGGTTATGCAAATAAAAATGAAAATTACATTACATTTTTTTCATGATATGGCATTTTATCATTCAATGTGCTTGGTGCTCTTGTCTTAATTTATTTAGGTTGTTGTGTGAGTAAGGGCTGAGTGTTTTCAAACATTTTCTTACATTTTTTCATATTCTGTCAATGATTATTGTATAATATTTGTTATCTTTTTTGAATTTTATTTTTTTAGGTGTTGCAAGATGAAATGAAAGCGAGGCGGCCAAAATCAGAACAATTGTGTGCTGTAGGTGAAAAATTAATTAAAGATCAGCACCCTCGTGGATCAGAAATAAAATCGAGAATTGAGAGTCTCCAGGAGAACTGGAAAGTTTTAGAAGAGCTTGCTGCCTTGCGTAAAAAGCAATTGGAGGATGCTGCAGAAGCTTACCAGGTATATAAAATAAGAATTTCAAATTTTAGAAATATGTAGAAACTGAAACATTTTGTTTAAATAACATTATGGTGTTTTGATTTAATTGTAACAAATTCATTGAAGAAAACACATTGTTGAATTAAATTTCATTACAAAAGATAACTCAATAATAATAACGTTAATAATAATAATAATGTTTTGTCAGTACATAATATCAGTACATCAGTATATGCAACTGACAGATCTTCTGAAAAAAGCAGAAACTTTGACAAGTAGTATGTAATGTGATAGAAGTTGATGCACTGTTAATCTGTACATAAGAGTGTGGCTGCTACCCTTGTAATCCTATTACATCTGAGGGTTGTTGTTACTGTGTCAAAGAGAAAATTTCTTTTATCCCCACCTCCTGAAATGATTTACAATAAGGAAGAAGAAGAGAAAAAATACTCTCAAGTACAAGCAGAGAAGATGCACAAACAAACAAACAAAAAAAGGGGGGGGGGGAGTATGAGCTCATAAAAATGATATTAACAAGAACCAGCAAGGGGGGATCAACAACTTGGGGCACTACTTGGTAAAAAGGAGTAAAACTTCTGCTCATTTTTCTTTCTCATATACACAGTATATATGGAGCAATATACATAGTACAAAGAAAGTTACTTAATGCTGTGGACAATCAAATTTAAGATTTTAACAGGATTGTACAATTTGGTGTCCCTTGATATCAAAAAAGTTTTTTTTTTAAAGGTCCATCTATCTGTTAACATTAGCACTTAATCTTTTCATAGGATTTTTTTTAAATTCACACAATTCATGGCCCATTTTTTAGAGTATTGCTTTCTCCTGGTGTAGATCGGAGAAACCACAGAAAATAACCTATCAGTGGAGCTGGCTGCTAGAATTATGCTCCAAACAGTGACTGAATTTGACATAGGTATCTATCTGGTGTTGAAAATTTAGCATTTGTTGTGACTCTGAACCATAGAACCTTCCATACAGAGGAACTGCAGTGACATCAGTTGAAGCTCTCAGCTACCCCAGGTGGTTTCTTCACTTTACATAATAATATTAATTAAATAGAACAATAAGATAACAATGTAACGGACACAATTACAAAGGTGCAAAAGGTATACTACATGTAATGTACAAAATGTAACATTTATGGAATATAAAGCACACTTATAATAAAGCACAAGAATATATCACAGACAATTTTTTTCACATTTGTGAGGTCCCCCCTGTGCGAATGTTTCAAACATACTTCACGCGGGAGATCTTTAATGTTAAAGAACTGAGTGGTTGGGAGGAAGAGTGAGGGGAAAATGATTACCAACAAGCTCGTTGCAATGTAGATTTAATGTTTATACCCTAAACGTCACCATTTTTTACACTATTTAAAGAGTAAGTGAAGGAGGGAGAGAGAGGGTAAATAGTGGAAAAATGGAAATCAAGAGGCACTCCTGATGGTGTCAATGGCTCCTTCTTGGCTCATGGCTGGCACAACGGTTGACGACGTGAGGGCTTGTGGCAAATCTGGCATTGGCAATGTCAGCTCGGAACTGAATACTGTCGCTTCATGTGTCTTGTTCTATATATATACGATTCTGGTAATTTTAAAAGTACTCAAGGTCATGTCCAGAATTGTCAACATGTTTTCCGAAGAGCTATTTTTCCCAACACTGCAGCAACTTTTCCCTTGCAGTTGCTTGGGTTTTGTCCATATAATGAAAATTTATACTTTTAAAGTTTTTGTACTAATATTTTAGTATGGTTTGCAACACATTTATAAAAGTATAGCACACTGCCTTTTCTCTTCTTACTTAAGTGCATCTTATAGTTCTACCAGTGAAAAAATTGGTTTTATTTGTGACCATTGAGATTGAGACTAACCTTTTATTTATTTTCATTTTAGTTCTATACTGATGCTAATGAGGCAGATTCTTGGCTGAATGAGAAAATGGCTCTTGTGGCATCATCTGACTATGGGGAGGATGAACCCAGTGCTCAAGCCCTGCAACAGCGACACAAAGACCTGCAGGGTGAACTCCATGCATATCAGGGAGACATACAAAGTTTGAACGCGCAAGCAGAGCGACTTATTAAGGCAGGAATTTCAACGTTAGAGGTGAGAATTCATTGTATTCCCTTGGGCGGGCAGTTTGACAGCATAAACTATGTTTGTCTCCCTGAGTATATTTATTGGATATTTTTAAAAAATTTGCTAGAAATAACCATTTTGGGAAATCAATTCGTCTTTCAGCTTTCTAGTCAACCGGAAGTGGCTCCAGAATTGGAAGCACCAGATGAGTGGATACAGGAAGTACGAATGGTGCCACAAGAATATTGGGAGGAGGAACCCGTGGAGAGGATGGTTGACAGAATGGTACTTGAAGAAAGAAAAGTACCTCAAGTGAAAAGCTTATATCCATTTAGTGGCCAGGGAATGGTTATGGCCAAAGGAGAGGTAAATAATAATAAAATAGAAAATAGTTGTTACATTACATGTTATGGGCAATCAATCTTCAACAAAACATTGATGACTCATTGAATTAATCATATACCTATGTTGTAATACAGTGAGATGTATTCAAATATAGTATGTATAATGAGAAACAGCCCTGATGTTTTCTTTGTTATTATTAAATAGCTTAATTAATGTTACATATTAATAATTAGAGACATACTATAACTGACTAGTTTAAGCTAATATATCACATACAATCAGCAACACAGTACCTAAGTCCACAATTGGGACATTTTGTTCAAGCTCAATATGGAGGTATTCATAAATAAAATATAATTAATATACTGGAAGTATACTCTTGGGGTTTGCAATCCAAATCAGAAAAAATATAAATATTTGAGGTCTACTTTTGCTTGAATTAAATAATTCAATTGTCAAAATAGCATAGACAGTTCAGAATTTTGAATAGTGAATTATTATCATTATCATCCATTGATATTGAATTATACATCATAGAGGAATTTATTTTAAACCTTGCCTTTGCTGTTGTATGCAATACAGCTAACAATATTAAGTTATATGTAATTTGGCAAAAAAATAGAAGCTCCTCAAATATTCAATAACTAGATCCAGAAATTTTTCTTTCCTTTTGCATTAAACTTATTATTATTCCATTGTATTTACATTTTGATTAAAGTTATTAGCACCTTAAAATATGAGTGCAGTGAATCTGACTTCAAATTTATGTGGTTGAATTACAAAATTGTAAGAAATGTGAAATATAAATCTTAAATTTCAATTGTGAATGTGTTGGAAATGACAATAAATTTTAGTTTATATTCAATCTAAGTATTTATCGTTGCTTTGGAAGTGTAATTTTTATTTTAGAACAAAATCATGCTTAAGAATAATAAAAACAAGGAATAGGCTTAGAGACCTAAGAACTACTAACAAGCAAGATTTAAAATTGAAAGCTTTCTGTCCAAATTATAGTTAAAAAATGTTCTTTTGGTGTTAATATTTTTGTGTCCCTTGAATATGGGTTCAAAAATATTTTGTTTATTAGTACTTTTTGTGTTAGGTTATGTTCCTTCTTAGTAAAACCAATCCTGATTGGTGGAATGTTCGGAAAGCAGATGGTTTAGATGGTTTTGTACCTGCTAATTATGTAAGAGAAATTGAACCAAAAGTAGTAACAGTTCAAGTTAAACGACCTGAAAAAGTCCGTGAAGTTCAGCGAGTTAAGAAAACCAAAATGGTACGCCAGGTAGTACCAATAAGAAGACCACGTCCGACTCGTGTATTACCTGGTAAGTTGAAACTTCCACTTTGGAGCAAATATTTACAGAGTATTGCATGAAGTTTGAATGATTACAGTTTTCTTGGTGGATTAGTCTTTTTGTACAAATATATATTTTGCTAATTAATAGTCTGTTGTGATCAGTTTGGAATGTATTTGGTAAAAGTTAGTTTTAAAGCAAGTAACTGGAATTTATTTTGTAGTAATAAGAATATATGAAATAAAATTTCTTTTAAATTACTGTTCATGATTCCTTTCATTTACTGACACTTGTGGAATAAATTGAAGTCTTATTGAGGTGATTACCTGAAGTAAAAGTAATTATAGGAAAAAATTCAAAACTCAGAAGAAAATTGTATTAATTCTATTTAAGGCAGATATTTTTCACCTCAATAAGAGTAGTATTTATACCATTACTGTCTGTAAATGAAAGGATTTCTTTAACAATCATTTAAATCAACAGTCAGAAAGTTTACTAAAAATAAGATTTCTATAGTAACATTGTCCATGAAGTTTGAAATACTTTCTCACACTATTTTTTCTTCTAACTTGATGGATGAGCTCACTGAGATCTTTTGAGTTTTATACCATTTTATTTAAATGTTTTTATTGTCATGTAATTTGCAGTGAAAACTGGAAAACGCAAGGTTGATGATGATAGTGATAATGTTGAAAAACGTCAAAAAAAGATAAACGCCACGTATAATCAACTTCTTGATTTAGCTCAGGTAAATTATATTCTATTATTAATGATTTAATTGTTTATCTTTAAAATTATTCAATTTTAACATGTGAAAAAATATATTGGTCTTTTCCTTTCAATTCAATCAATTCAACTAATGCCAAAATAGGCTGCAAAAGCATATTTAAATGATGATTCAGTAAAATCTATGGTTTGGTATTGTGTATTTTCATTAAAATTGATTTTGTTTAGCGGCGACATGCTCTATTAGAAGATTCCATTCGTTTGTTTGGGTTTTATCGGGAATGCGATGATTTTGAGAAATGGATAAAAGACAAGGAACGCATGCTAAGAACTGATGATTCATCAGAAAATGTTGAATCAGCAAAACGAAAATTTGAGGTAATATGGAGTAATGTTTAATAATGTTTCATTTTTAACATATTTGTGCAATAGTTAAAAAAATAATGTTAATTATTTTTTAAAGAAATTCTTAACTGACCTATCAGCAAGTAGTAAGCGTATTGAAGCATTGGATGCTGCTGTTGAAGAATTTGTTAAGCAAGGCCACAGTCAGTTGGATAAGGTGCGAGCACGTCAAAGACATATTCATCAGTTGTGGGACCATCTTAATCGCTTGAAAGCTCAGAAAGAGCGCAGTTTGGAGGGCGCTAGTAGGTGAGTATGACAATAAAAAGATGTGAATTTAATGCTCAAACTACTTGTTCACAATTTTTTTTATAGGTACACATTGTTGAGTTATTGTACAATAAAATTAAATTGTATGACTTTTTCTTTCTTTTAGTGTGGAGTTATTCAATCGAACATGTGATGAAGCTCGAGATTGGATGCTGGAAAAGATGACTCAGCTTGATACAGCAGAATTAGGACCTGATCTTCGCACAGTGCAGGCTTTGCAGCGTCGCCATCAACAGTTGGAACGTGAATTGGCACCTGTTGAAGAAAAGGTCAATCGGGTCAATCTACTTGCCAATTCGTAAGTTGCAATTGAACATTTATTTAAATAAGTGATGCTGATGACACATAATAAGAAATTTGTGATGACTGTTCATTCTTTCAGAGTCAAAGCATCGTATCCAAATGAAAGGACCAATGTTAATGGAAGACAACGAGAAATTCAGGATCTTTGGGAAAAAGTTAAGGTAAGTAATTATATTTATGATATGAATAATATAGTTCTTTATAATTATAATTATTGTTATGATATTTATAAGAGAGAAGCTTTTATTGAATACCCTTCTATTATTTTTTTTCTTAAATTAGGCAAAAGCCGTTGAAAGACGATCACGTCTCGAAGATGCTGTTGGCCAACAAATCTTTATGAATAGTTCAAAAAATTTGGTATGTTTTACATATGTATTTGATACTAGTTTTCCTATTTCAAAATACTTATATACCACTGCATTTGGATGTTTTTAATATTCTAATTATAATTATATTCATTTCTTTGTAGTTGTCGTGGGTTGCTTCAATCAAAGATGCTCTGAATGCAGATGAGTCAGCTCGAGATGTTGCAACAGCAGAAAATTTACTCAAAAAGCACAATGAGCTGGGTGATGACATTCGAGCCCATGAAGATGAGTAAGTTATATGATTAGTATATAGTAGTTATATGGTTAGTATTCTGCAATGTTGTGAATTTGTTTATGTGGGTTGAGTAACCTTTTCCCTAAGACAATTTTTGGTTTAGCTGTGGATGCAACTATAACTACACGTTAATCAAATTAAAAATCAACCAATATTGCAGTTACCATTGGTTTATTTCCTTCCTCTCATTTGTTAAAACTCTTTTCTTGCGTAGATTTCGTGAAGTTGCAAAATTAGGACATCAGTTGCTTCAGCGAAATCGAGGCCTCACAGACGTACAGGAGAGGCTCAATCGATTGGATGCTGAGCATCAGGCAGTACTACGCGGATGGGGAGAGAAAGGAGACTGGCTAAGACAATGTCTTGATTTGCAATTGTTGAATCGGGAAGCTGATCAGATCGATGCTTCAACTTCAAGCCATGAAGTGTTCTTGGCAAACACGGATTTGGGAGTAAGCAACATGACATAATAATTACATATTTTAGATAAGTATTTTAGGTGTATTTCCTAATCAATATATTGCTTTCAGGAATCCCTTGATGATGTTGAAGCTCTTCTGAAACGTCATGAGGATTTTGAAAATACGCTTTATGCCCAAGATGAAAGACTGAAAGCTTTTAGTGAAATGGCAGACAAATTAATTGAGGCTGGTCATTACGATAGTAAATAGTAAGTAAATGACATGAATTTATTTATAACAAAAAATCTTGTTATAATATAATCTTGTGGGATACTTAACTGAAGGGTTGTAGAGATTATTGATATATTAATTTAACTTCATTTATTTACTTTGAAATCAAGCTTACCTTGATAACAGGTTTTCTTGTAGATGGTGTTAACAAATTTGAGTACATTTGGTTATAATAGAGCAATAGATTCAAAAAATAATTCAGAATCAATATTAGAAAGATCAAATACATAGTCTGTTCATTTGTTAAATTTGGTATTCATTGAATGCTTTGTCATATATTACTCAATTTATCAAACGAACTGACCGTGTTTTTGATCATTCTAAGAATGATACTTATTTTTTTGTGGATATCAAGCTTCGTATTGAAGACAATAACAAGCAATAACATATCAATAAAAAATGAACATTATAGCCACGGCAGCAGCATATAGCAAATCAATTGGTTACCACTGAATGGAAGTAACAATTGGTCAGATAATGTTATGAGGTAGGAGAAGGGGAAGGAAAAGAAATTATCATCATTATATATTTTATATTGAGTACTACTTCAATTTTATTATATCTTTTACCTTATTGAGTTTTTAACGACAGTAACATTTTATTTCATTCTGTGTGCTTGCTAAATTTGCTGATGATATTCTTTGTAGTCAAAGAGGAGGAAAAAGCTCTTCCACAGAATATTGCATAACATTATGTAAAGCAGAATAAGAAACTTCAAACTGCCTTTTTCTGTAGCAATAAATTTGCATATTGCTTTGTCAAAAAAAAATATTTATATGACAACATATAAACTGAGTGCCCAAAGCACTGGCATTGACAGGACCAGCGAAAGCCCGTTGGGGGTATCTGCCAGTCAATGGTCCATGCTAGCTCCTTTTGAAAGGATAGCTTCCAGAGCAATGTTATGTTTTCCAGGATATTGTGAAAGTATTGTGTTTTTCATTTGCTGAGACTTGGGGCCACATATTGATAGAATATTCCATGTTTTTTGCCATTATAATTACAACTCATACTTACGTTCATGCATATGTTTAGTGCAATGTGTTTTTTATTTCAGCATTGATGAACGCCGCAACCAGGTGCTCAAAAGACGCCAAGAGGTCAAGGAAGCAGCTCAGGCTCGGAGAGCTGCCCTCACTGCTTCTCATAACTTTCAGAAGTTTTCTGCCGATGTTGGCGATTTGCAAGGCTGGTTAGCAGATAAAATGAAGACTGCATCAGATGAGTCATATAGAGATCTCAGCAATTTAGAGAGAAAATTACAGAAACATGAAGCATTTGAACGTGAATTGCGAGCCAATGAGGGTCAACTCCGTGCTGTGAATAAGGTGAGAAAACAATGGAATATGAACCTTAAAGTTTAGTACAAAGAATTTAGTAGTAAGAATTTTCATAGAAATTGCATGCACATCAAAGTAAGACATGTAGAGTAGCAATGTTTTAAATTGGCGATTAAAAATAAATAAAAATGAATAAAAAATAAAACTTTTTTTCTCCTTCCATAAAAAATTTCATTAATTGAGCTGATTTTATAGTCTGCCATAATAGTAAATAATAGTGCATAAAAAAATTATGAAAGTACAGTAGCAAATTATGAATCTAATAAAGAACTTTAAAAACAAAATGGAATTAGATTTTTTGAACTCCTAACTAGAGAAAATAGAAAATCAATTTTAAAATATTGTAGTATAACTTGTTTTCTAAATGGCATGTCAATTGTGCGCCATAATATTTTAACTAAAAATGTGTGATATTATTTAAATAAAACATGGACTTGTTTTCACAAGTATATTTGAATGAATGTTGATTATATTTTAAACTAGAGGTGGAGTTCTTTATCAGGAAATCTTTGTCTTCAGTTATCCCGAAACTGGCTGAACTGACAATAGCACTGATAGGTTCACAAGAACCATAGATTGCATACAACGATTGACATTGCACTTTCTCAGCAAATAAATCAAATATACTACTCGAGAAATCTGTGGAGAAAATTGTTGCATCTTGTAAATATTATTTGAAAGATGTTCTATTAAAATCAATGAAGTCAGTGAAAAATGCTCTAACAATGATGGGATGATATAAAGAATGACTTATTTGTCGAAATTGATGAAAAAATGCAAAAAACAACATAAAAATGAGTTATTTTGTTTTGTCATAATATAAAATTAATTTCCCTACTAAACAGCATTGTTTTAATGTGAAGATAAAATAAATAACCTTTCATTAAAATACACCCCTTATTTATAACATTTATAAAAACATTTTACATATAAAACTTTGGCAACATTGCCTAATTAAATAAATATTAAATGGTAAATATCATTATAAATACTTCTGAAAGTAGTTGAGAGTTACTGAATAGCAGCTACCTAATTACACAAACATTTGTTATCCTTTGTTTATTTGCACATTCTGTTGGTTGGGTAATTTTGAAATATATAGCAACTTTTAATTTTTTAGAAAAAAAAAAATTTGCTTTTGTAGATGTTCGAGTTGGAGCTTTAAATATCAGATGGTGCAATAAAATGGGACTATCAATATTACCATTAAATATTTTGCATAAAAATTTAATATCATTACGTTCCCAGAATAAAGGAATTTCAAACAAAGATACGATAATTTTGTTCAATAAATTGATCTTGGAGAGTCAGTCGCATAGAAACCATCCTGAAAAATTTATGCTGGACAGTTTGTATGCATCTTGCATGAGAAAGAAAAGAAAAAAAAGAATAAAAAAGCTAAAAAGAATAAAAAAATATATTTATTTATTTATTCAACAAATGATGGATTAGCTATCTTTGAGCCATCCCTAACATGAAGTGAATAATTTTTGTAAGAAAAGTATTTATTACTTCCATAATTCATGAACAGACTCTTGATATGTTAAGATTAGAAATAAAAAATATTTCTAAAATAATCTAAACTTTACAAAAATTAATTCAGAAGAATATAACAGTTGGAAATGAGATGTTTTAAGGGCCGAATAGATTTCTCAGGGAATCCAAAATATCCATTTGCATTTAAATATATTTAAAAATAATCTTCATTAACTTAGTTGTAGAGCAATAGCTATTAAAATGTGTTTTTAAATGATGATTAAACCTTTATTTTATTTATTTTTTTAGGCTTTAAAATTTATTTTTGCATGGTTTATGAGCTAATATAATATTGTTCTTGTTCTCAAGGCTGGACAAGCATTGATAGCTGAAGGCAATTACCGACAAGCGGATGTAGCAAAAATGCTTCAGGAGCAAAATCAAGCTTGGGAGAAACTGGTGGCATTATCTCAAAACAAAAGACAACGACTTCGACAGGCAGCTGCCCAGCGAATGTACAACCGGAGTTTGGAAGACACACGTCTTAAATTGGAAGAGATAGAAGCAAGCTTACAGTCCCAGGAAGTTGGCTCTGACTTGCGCCATTGTAAAGAACTTCTCAAAAAACATCAAGTAAGATGATGATAATTGTTTTTTGTTCAGTAAATTTTATACTGCATCTTATATAAAATGTTAATTTTGCTTTTTTTTGTTCTGTTTCTAGGCACTTGAAAATGATATTAGTCAATGGAATCAAAAAGTAGATGGACTAGTTACCATGGGTGAAGAAATGGTTCATGAAGGACACTTCGATGCTGACAGCATTCTCAAGAATAATCGCGAATGCCAAAGAAAGTAATAATCTTAATACATATTGAGTACTTTGTATTGTTGCCATTTTCCTGTAAGTTCATGTAAAAGACATTACATTTTAATTTAAAACTCTTTTACTCTTTTTAGATTTGTGGCCTTAAAAGAACCAGTCCAGAAAAGAAGAGAAGCTCTTGAAGAGTCTCTTAGGTTTCATAAGTTTGGTTTTGAACTTGATGCTGAAAAGCAGTGGATAAGAGAGCACATGCCTTTGGCATCTTCAACCACTTTAGGGCAAAATTTACATCAGGCTCAATCTCTTCAGAAGAAACACAGAAAATTGGAAGCCGAAATAGCGGGTCATCAGCCTGTTATTGACAGAACTTTGTCATCAGGTTCTTCCTTGATTGAGCAAGGACATCCTAGAAGTTCTGAGGTTTGTGAACTTAATTTGATGCCATTTCAAATATTTATCTTGTATAAATTCTGAAATGTCTGTGAATTTAGCAGTATATAGCTTATATATATAACATAGCTACTTTGCATGTAGCGCATTTATAAACTGTTCCATTAGCAAAACATTTCAGCCAGTTTAGCTGGAAGAAAAGTGCACAAAAAAGTTGATATTTTCGGTTTTACAGTTACACTTGCTAGTATATTGACTTCCTTCATTATCAGAGCTCTTGATAATGTATTAGGCCCAGTTTATTTCAGAAGTTACTATTTATAGTAAAGCCATTAGTGGGCCTTTAGGCCCATGTAATTAGAATTTAGGTTTTGAAAGCTTGTTATGAAGGGATGTATTGGAAGTTCTTCTCTTGTATCTCGTATATTTTCATAAAAAGAGACAACACAAGATATGTCTATTCATTCATAATTTTTTAATTTTAGATGGTTACAAGAATGAAATATATTTCAACTAGAATTTGATCAAAGTCGAGTACTATTTTTATTTTGATTAAAAGATGTATCAAGTGTAGTAGAAAGGGAAAGTCTATTGTGATTTTAAAAACGGTGTATTAGTAATGTATATTATGTATTTTATTAATATTTAATCCTGAGTAAAATCATGTCTAAAATGTTTAGTATTAGTTTAAAAAATAGCATTGGATCATTTATTGATCTTTCTTTTTTAATCTTTAGATGGATGACTTAAACAGATTGGTGGTTGCCCAGTTTCCTCGCAGGTACTAAATAGCATGGATTGATATTGTGGTATGCATGTTTACAGTGTTTTAAAACAATGTAAATAGGTATTGTTGAAGTAGATTCTACTGTGTATTCTACATGTGGTTGAGTCCTTGAAACTCTGATTGTTATCTACATTAAAAGTTACAAGTTTAACGGAAATATTTTGAACAGATGGAGAAAATTGCAACGTAGGTGGATTTTAAAATACACAGTCTATGAATTCCTAAAAATGCTTCTGTAAGTTTTGCTCCTCCATGTGAATAAAATTTACATTAAAATTTAAACATGCAAGATGCAAGTTGTTTGGTTTCAAAAAAATACGGAATAGAAATGATACTCGTAATTTCATGGAAAGAAGAAATCAAATTCATTAAGTAATTTTCAATTTTTAATATCCCCAGATCGGGGAAGTATGACAGTATGGCTGCTGAAACTTTGCCATTTGCAGTTAGGAGGGGTGTCTCCCGGACAGCCAAGTAGATAAGTCGTGGAACCTATGCTTTCAAGAGTGTTATTGCTGTCGATTACTCTATGGTATACTGTGCTTTAGGGGTTAGACACAGCTTACAACAGTTAAATTATTACTGCTTTTCCACTTTTTTCTCTATTAAAATCATACTCCCTGACGTGAAAATGAACTGACACAGAAATATCTTTCTTCTGCAAGAAAATATTTGCTTGTAACTAAAAAAAGAAAAAAGGATAAGAGAAAAAAAATGTTTTGATGAATCAAAATTCAACCAGTTTTTAAATCACTGACTTGGTTTTTCCCTGATAACTAAAATAATTTTGAAGATTTGTACCAATGTATTCCTTTGATTTGTTGGAAATACTCACAAGTACAAAATCATGCACTTTCATTTAGATCGCTGAATAAATAATATTTTCAATTTGAATTCAAAATTAATATATTGTTTATTAATAGTTTTTCTGTTTTATAATTTTTATCACAAAAATTGCCAAACTGAAGTGTATGCTTTAGCATGGTTTTGTAGATAATACTTGGTGCCTGCATCCTAAAAATTTGCTAGCTTTATCATGTTTAGTTTTTGAGTTATAAGGAAAATTGATCATAAAAATTATAATTCTGGAAAACAAGTGAGTTTGATTCATGAGTTTTGCTTACCTTACTACCCTCTTTTATACATGATGCTGTGACATAACTTTTAAATCATAACTCGAAAACTATTGCAGATATCCAATATTTTTTTACCAAAATATTTAATATATTAATTAATTAATGAATAGAAAGAATGTTTTCAAAAATTTAATTTTCGAAATGTATCTGCCCTCTGATGCATAGTACTTGTTTGAACCCTTTTCGTCTTGTCTTCAAGAGGTGGAGAAAAATATACACAGAACAGGCTGCCAATGTGAAATTTGGATTTGAAGACCACTTGCTTGTTAAGTCTTGGTTATTAGGAGCGGTGTTGGTTACTTACTAATAAAAACTAAATTAACATTTGCAAACCAATGGGAAGGGTCAACGATAATGCCGATCATAATTTTTTTTTTATCTTTGTTTAGGTAAGGAGTTACTGTTTCATCTTTAAGGACATTTATTGTTAGAACATTTCTGAGCCTTTAGCGGTTCTTTAATAATTCAAAGCTTATTGGATGTTTACGAAACAATTCAAAACCATTGTCTTGTATAATCACTACAAGGAAACTTGGGAATTCTCTTACAGCCAAACCTGTCCATAATAACATTGAAATTTTATTTTAGTATATTTTGTTGTAGAACAGTGGAGACACTAGGAACGTATTGAAATAGTTCTTTAGAAAACGACTTGCTATCTGTTTCTGTGGAGAGGATTTGCCGTACCTCAAAATCTGAAAATATTTAACACAAACCTGCAGAAAACGATTGTAGTAATCTCCTAAATACACATATCATGAGTTCTTAAAACTTTCCTTCTATTATGCTGCAATTTATTTTGGGTCGTCCTCCTCTCCTCCTTCTCTCCTCCTCTTCCTCCTCCCTCTCCCTTCATGTTGGGACTGTATCATATCAGAATGGTTTTGATAGGTGATTGTTAAAGACTTAAAGTAGTTCATTCAGTGACAAATTACTCTTATATTGTATTTTTTCATTCTTTCAAAAATGTTTTTCATGGAACAAACCTTGAGTACTTTTGTGTCAGTTGTGTGGTAATGTATGGAAAAGATTTTTCCTGACTGCTGCTGCTGCATATTACCCAATAGATTTTTGTTACTTTAAGTTTGCAAGTAGTACAAATTTTCTGCTTTTCACTTTAAATACTTTGAAGTGTTTATATTGCTGTGTTCCAATTTTTATTGCATGTCTATTAAATATTTTTTCAATGTCCACGTGTATTTTTTAGTCTCTAATTATTTGTGATTGTCATTGATTTAACTCATGGTTTATTACCATTGCAGACTTTTTTCTGTCAAATATATGTCCTGAGATTTAATATCATATTCCTTTTCTTCTTGTTAGTAAAAGGATTTAGTAATACGTTGCATATTTAAAAAGATTGTTTAAGAAACTAGTAGTTCAAACTGTACACAGCAAGTTATACAGGAATTTTTTTGTGTTCATTGTTTCTTCTAGAGGAGCTTGCATTTCAGTGTAAATGAAAGAAATATTCTTTATTTAAATGTAAGTTTTATGGTAATGTCTCAGTGCCTTGGCATTAATGAAAACACTACCTCAACATGTTAGGCTTACATAATTGTAGGTAGTTATATCACTTATCAGAGAGTCAGAGTTTCTCTAGATTGAATTAAATTTGTAATCAGTAAATTTAATAAAATACATGTTCATTATACATGTAAAGGTATTTGTCATTATCTGAATTGTAATAAAGTAGGTTTAAATTTAGGAACATAGTTGTTAGTAGTTGACAGATCGATATTTGACTCTGTTAATTATTTCACTTGTCATAATGGAACATTGTAATGTAAATTCGATCTAGAAATTGGTGTTCTCAAGTTTGTTAGATTGCTGCCTCTTAAGTTATGATAAGTTGGCATGTTTAGATAAATTGTATCTTGTGATAATTTTGTGAGCATTTGACTTCTAGTTTTTAAACTTTGAACACAATATATTTTTGCATGCTATATATTTATCAAGGACTTTTTTTTCTTTCGTGAAATAAGATAGAGTTAATGGGTGTATATGAACACATTGCACTGCGTAGTACATTAGTGATTAGTTATATTTCAATATTTTCTGAATTTTGGTGTATTGAACTTTACTTTTACTTTGTATAATAAGGTACAAGTAGTTTGGTTTGAAATTATTTGTGGCCTTTACGTAAAGTGTCAATTTCTGTGCTACTACAATTTGCCAAACTAGCTTATTGTTGTCTTCTTTTTCTTCTTCTTCTTTGACTTTTTCTTTGCCTTCTTATTTTTCAGGGGGGGGGGGCAAATTAGTATATTGCCTTCTTTTTTTACTGCTCCAAACAAGGACAACATGTGTGGATTCTTCTGGAACTAAATAAATTTCTTGAGGTAGTTGCTTATGAAGATTTTGTATTTGTAGATTCGGGACCTGTGTCATAGTTTGGAGATGGATTGGGAAGATCTGCAGGCTCATGCTCAAGAACGTAGTAGAAAACTTGATTTGTCCTTAAAAGCCCAAGAATTTTTCTTTGGAGCTAGTGAAGTTGAAGCCTGGTTGGGAGAGAAAAATGATGTCTTAAGCTCCACAGATTATGGCCGAGATTATGATGCAGCTAGAAAATTGCTTACTAAGCATAAGGTATGTATAAATCCACATAGGCCAAAGCCCAGGCCAAAATAGTAAGAGAAAAATTTAATAATTGAAGAAATTATCGCCTTTCAATTTGGATTAGGAGAAAAGGGATGCAATAATAATAATAATAATAATAATAATAATAATAATAATAATAATAATAATGGATAAATAAAATAAAAATGGAATAATAAAGGGGACCAGAAGAAAAGCGTGATAAATTGGATAATTCATAACATATCATCAAAAGCAACATCTAAGAATGATTCAGAAAAGTGGCTAATGGGCATGAATAAAGCCTGAGATTTCAAAGTAACTCAAATGAAATTTTTAAGGATGTAGAGAAATTATTTCTTAAAAAGTTGATTTACTATTTTGAAAAAGAGTTGTTAACATTTTGCACTTTTTTGCTGACAAGTTGATTGTTTTAGGCTCTTGAGTTGGAATTGGATACATACAGTGGAATTGTTAATGAAATGGGTCATTCAGCTAATGCCATGGTCAGTGCAAAGCATCCAGATGCAAAAGCTATTGCTGCAAGACAACAACTTATTTCCCAACAAGTTCGAGCTCTTCAGCGGCTTGGAACGGCTCGTCAACAACGATTAATGGAATCCATGTTTCGCCATGAGTACTTCCTTGAGAGTGCAGAGTTGGAACAATGGATACGAGAACAAGAACAAACAGCTGCAAGTGAAGATTATGGCCATGATTATGAGCATTTGTTGGTGAGTTTTAATTTATCAATTTTTATTTCCTTCTTGCCTGCTTTTCATTATTGATTTAAATTATTGTTACGACTGGAATTTCATATACAAACTTATTAACTGTTGTATGAAAAACACTACTGATGGAAACTATTGATGTAGTGACAAACAATCTTTTTTGTCATGCTATTAATTGTTTGTGATGTGTTAATTTGAAATCATCACAGAAATCAACTTTGTATTCTCTGAATTTTTAGGTTTTGCAAAATAAGTTTGATGACTTCAAGCATCGTATAGATGCAGGATCAGAACGTTTTAATCAATGTGAAGAACTGGCTAAGAAGCTGATAGGCAACGATAGCCCCTATGTCTCTGAAATAGAGAAACGTCAGGAACAGCTTAGGTATGTTCTGTATAGTTATGATGTAACATTACATACTGCTGTTTTAACACAAATGTTAATGGTCTCTTTTAATTAAGCATTACTACATTTCTAATATGTTCCAATGATTGCACAAATGTTGCACTGGGCCAATTTGTCTTAGTATATTAAATTGTTCTTGCACTTGCATGAGTATAGTTTTGACAATACAATTTCTTCATTGCACATGTTATATAAAGAATGTATTTCCCCACGAAGATTCTCTTTTTGGTTAATTGGGGGAAAATATTGCATGATAACCCTTTACTAATATGAAAATTCAAACTAATAAGTAATATTTTTTATATTTCTGATTTCCTAAGAAACAATATTTATCTTTAAATATTATTGAATATGATTGTTGAAAAATCTTAAATATTAAAATATCTTTTCTAAATTTTACAAATGCAAAATAAATATGTAAAGAGCCTCCTTTGTTTGGTTTGGTTTGATATTTTTATCTGTAAGTTTGGGATTAATATAGTATTCGCAAAGTTCTTTTGATTTTACAATATATTATCAATTTATAGTTTTCTTAGTCTTAAGTAGTATACTATCATTGTTCCTTTTACATCAAAATTATTTTTACATTTTTCAAGATATTGAGTTTTAGTTTGAAGAATTCTTTTGTAGCCAAGCAATGAAATGAAATAAATGTGTTAAAGGGACAAAACTCAGTCAGACTTCATGAGAAAGTTTATATCTGAGTTTATATCTGAATAAAAATCAGAAGTAAAGTTCCATCCTATTCATTAAAAACTATGCTTTAATATAGAATTCTAAATTGATGTTGGTTGTGTAAATTTTGTCTTTCCTTTGTTTATGAATTGACTTTTTGACTTCAAGTACGGGTTTTCTTATGCTCTGTACAAAATGGTGTTTGTTTCTTATTATTGTGTGGTGAATGGACTGGTTTGCCTCACTTTTGAAATTGTGGTTGTGGTAATCTCTTACTAATCTCACTTGCCTTACAACAGTCAGTCTGGTGAAGGACATGTGGATCCCAAGGCTGAGGTTGCTGCTCGGCATAATCATATTCGGTAAGGCACTTTTCGTTTCTGTAGAGCAGGGGTGGCAATCGCTCTTGCAGATTTGGTCAGAACATCGGCACTGCATGCACGCAGAGGCAATTACACTTTTTAGTACTTGAGATTTGTTGAGGCAGTGTGATTAAATATCCCTGCTGCTACAAGCACTAGAAATAAATAACAGGAGCTGTTTGGGAAAACCAACAGGAGTTGAATTGTAAAGGCACTGTCAGGTTCAGTCAAATCCGCTATCAATTAATAAAATAAACTGAAAATACAGATTTATTACGAAAAGAAAACTCAGTTTCCAAAATTACTGTGTAAAATGAAATAAATGAGGAATGATTATAATAGCAAGCAGTGTTTCAGAATGGTACAGACTTTCTCGTACTACTCAGTTTTTAATATATTTAATCTCGGCTTTTTGGTATTTACCCACCCTTTTCCCAGCTGCTACTGATTGTCACCTAAGACATTTCTTCATATTTTCTCATTTTTTCAGTCTTTTAATAGCAGAATTGGAATATAGAGAATATTAAAGAAGAATAAAGTCTGATCCTTTAAGCAAATTTTCAATGAAAACTTTGGAACAGTTTTTGAGAAAATGTCAAAGGATATTCGCAAATGCAAATTGTATAAAAACTCTTCTAATGTAAATATTAATGATGTGGGAAATACTTTAAAAAATTGCATGTATGTGTATATTACATGACCTCATTTAAAGATTAAGAGTTTTGAAGAACACTTTTTATTCACAAGAAAAATCCCCGTCTTCAATATTTTAATTGTAAGAAGACCATGAATAAATTTCAAATTTTTGATGTTTTTGAAAATGTAGAGAATTCAATGAAAATTGGACCTTCATAATTTTTAAAAGCATACATCGTTTTATGAAAAACAAAATCCTTGAGGCTTTCTGTAAAATATCTGTTTCAAATTCAAGGGGCAGTGTCATCAGTCAAAGTGATCTGGAGATATGAATTTTGCTGAAAATCCTATTTACGTTTTAGTCACTAGCCACCAGTGATAATAAAGACAAATGTACAGACACATTTTGCCCTGAACCAGTTTTTCAGTATCAAGGACCCACAAATCATGGATTCTCTGCATAAGATATTGAAGGAAGTTATTTACTACATATAAGGACAATAATTATCTCCTTTTTTGAAATCAGGGATCCACAAAATAATTTTTTCTGTTGAAAAATCACTGTTCTTTGCTGCAGCTAATCAGTACTTTCTCTGTACTACATACGTAGTATGCAAGAAATTAAAAAGTCAAATGACAATGGAGAACAACTGTGAAGAGATGAGACTGAGCAGTAGCTGCTCCCTGTTTCCTCCCTGATCCATTGACATAGGATTGTAAAATGTCTATATAGGCAATCTGTACATGTGATTCATGTGATCGCCTGTACAGGCTGCGATTTGCCAACTCTACTGTTAAGGATCATACTTATGCAAAATCACTTAAGAATCTAGACCTTCATTGTTTTAATGGAAGACATTTTTGATAAGCAAATAATTTTCTTTAAATTTTCTTTTTAAGTATGAGTAAATATTTGTTTTAGTTATCATGACAAATCCTTAATACAGTTTAAATTAATATGTTATTCATACTTGTACAATCAATCTCTCAAGGCAACATGTGATAGTGCAAGAAAAGAGAGTACATTTGATGACAGATGAAACAGAGGCTTTAAGATAGATTAAGGATTGAATTAATTGAATGAATCGGGCATTCTTGATGGGCAAGATCTTACTTAGGCATTTTTCTATGAAATGCAAAATAAGCACATTACTCACATGGGCTATAGAATCTCTTAAAATACTTATTTATTAAAATGTATCAATACTTATGTATCTTTGAAAACAATTTATATACATTATTCGGGAGTTTCATTCCTAAATTGTGCCTCTAGTCATGAATGGTGTAAGTATGGTCCAGTTCTTTCACAATTGCATGAATCCTTAACTGTTGTGTTGTCAGTTAGCCTGCAATATTTCCTTTTTGGAAATATGAAATGATTTTGGAAATATATTGTGGAAATATTATCCAATTCTTTGTTGAAAATTTTGAGTTGATTTTCACTGTTACAGTAGACATGTTAGTTTCATTACTATGTCTCTCTAGAAATTATTTTAATTAAAAATGTATTTCTAAGTAGATAGTCTTTTTAGATGCACTGCAAACTTTACATGTTGGAGTTAAAGCACCTATGAGACAGTTTTGTTAGTTTTATTATTAGAAAAATGAAATGACTGGTATTGGTTTTGGATTTCTTTCTGCCCACACTTTCTGTTTTCTAATTATTATAAGTAACTTTAAAACATAACTTATGAAACTTTGTGTGTTTTTTGTTAGTAATTTTGATATTGCAGTTTCTGACTACAAAAATATTTTGTAGGGAGTGTTGGCAACAGTTGCTTCAGTTAATAGAACACAGAGATAAACGGTTGCAAGCAGCTGGAGAAATTCATAGATTCCATCGTGATGTTGCTGAAGTTCTATCACGCATTCAAGACAAAGAAGCTGCATTACCAGATGATCTTGGCAGAGATCTTAATTCAGTTCTTTCACTTATGCGTCGTCATGAGGGCTTTGAAAATGACTTGGTTGCCCTAGAGGCTCAATTACAGGTATTACGAGAGTTGAATTGAATATTCGTAAAAAATGCAGGTGATAGAAGTGTTGTTCTTATTTTCATGAATGACTTTCAGGTTTTGGGAGAAGACGCTACAAGATTGCAGGCACAGTATCCTGGCCAAAATGCAGAACATATTGCACAACAACAAGAATTTGTCAGCTCAAATTGGGATGGCTTGCAGGAAAGAACACGACAACGAAGTCGTGATTTGCAAGCAAGTTGTGATCTCCAACGTTTCTTAACTCAAGTGAGTAATTGATGAAGTAAATTAGTAAAATTATTCTGATGAAAGTGTATGACTTCCAGAGAGACAGAGACAGTATGTACCTTGCGGTCTGGTGATGCCGCATCCGAGGCACATACGCCAACATACCAGCCATCAAGTCATGACCTTCTTAAGGGCAAAATGCATTTTGTCTTGAGGAAGTTCATTTCATTTTTATTTAAACCTTGTGTAGAAATTGTTAGTTACTTTTATTGTGTAGTGTTGATAAGTTTTTATTTTCCACTATTTTTGCATGTTACTTTTTTACCTAGGTGCGAGACTTGTGGAGTTGGGCAGCTGGTTTACGAGCTACAATGATGACAGAAGAAAAAGTACGTGATGCAGCAAGTGCTCAGACATCCAAAGCTGAACATGAAGCCGTGAAAGCAGAAATTGAAGCTCGAGAAGAATCCTTCCAGAATGTAGTTGACTTGGGACAAGCGATGGTTCACGCTGGTCATTATGCATCACAGGTTATTTATTTATTATTTCTGTTAACAATTAAGTGATGTGTTTTTAGTGGCATAATTAATTTTACTTATAATAAATATTTTGCTTTGCATAGTTAAATAATTAATGTAGCTAGGGGCCGTCCATAAATTCCTAATTTCAATTTGAAGTATTTTGAGTACTGCCTCTCCCCCTGTAATAGACCCATAACACACGCTTGAACCTCTGCTAAATAATTACGTAATGCTTGTGACCCCCTCCTGTAAAAAAAAAAAAAAAAAAGAGTAACAATTGTTTTAGTACTTGTTTTGTATATTAAAATTAATGATAATGAAAAGAGAAGTTAGTTAGTAATGTTGACTGCACCTAACAATACAATTGGAACAAGTTGTGAGTGAAGAAAGAACGAATTGGCGAGAAAATGTTAGATCACAAGCTATGCCCTTGGTCTTGGTTTACACATGAGCGAGAGTGTAGTGTAGTAATTTAAATGGATTCTAGAATATACTACGTATCAGTCTTGAATATTTTCTTCAGAGTCGTGCAGATTTTATAAAAAATTGGGGAAAAAATATTTCCATTCATTGCGACAATTTACAACTAATAACTGTAATTTATTTGTGTTTTTAAAGCAAATTAATTAGTTTATATTTTAATGGTTTAGTATAAGACTCAAAGAAAAAAATTATTTCAACAAGTATTGAAAAAAAATCAATGTTACGTAATACTAAACTAATAACCTCCCACCCCCTCCCTACTCCAATGTAACGCAGCTTAACTCTGCTTCAACTCTCCCCACCCCCCGCTCTTTAGAATTGTGTATTAGAATTATGGATGACCCCTTACAATAGATAAACACAACAACAAGATTACTAAACTAGGTAAATAGCACACTATTGGTATATTTGGTACACTTATAATAATATAGGAAAAATACATATGAATGGGTGAAAAGCAGAACGGTATAAGAGACATTTCATAAATTCTGAGAAAAACGTGTTTATTTTAGTCTGTATTTCTGTGGCAATGTATTTTTGTGGTTGTAATGAACAATTGAAATGCCATGATTTTCATGATAACACAAAGCATCATGACTTTACAGTAACATTGACATAAATAAACAGATTTCTTGGAATTCATAAAATGTAACTTACACTATTTTGTTTTTCACACATTCATATGAAAGATTTAAATATACACTTATAACATTACAATAAAAAATAAATCACACTATGTCACATCATTAATTAAGAATTTTATATTCCTTGTTATCTGGACAAACAAACCAGCAGGGATCAGAGATAGAGGGAAACTACTAAAGAAGTGTCTCAGGAGCACTTGGAATAGCAGGAACACTTGGAAGACTAAGAATCTATCAAGAATACTGTAATAAACCAATAGGAACATGCTATTGAGCCTAATGTCTGGAGAGTTCATAATAATGATGATATTCCTTGTGATAGAATTCTTTTACACAGATATTTTAATTATGTCATGCCACGAATTGTTTAGAGGAAAATAGTTAAATAATATGTAATTTACACGAAATAATATTAAAGTTGTAAACATTGTACTTATAGGAAATAACTGAGCGTTATACACAGTTGTTGGAAGAGCGTCGAAAGTTGCTATCTGCTTGGCAGCAAAAGAAAGTGCACCTTGATCAACTTATCGATTTACATTTCTTCCTAAGGGATGCAAAGCAAATGGATGCTCTTTCAAGTTCTCAAGAGGTAAAGTTATAAGGACTTTTCTGTTTTTCTTTCCTTTTTTAACTACAATAAAATTATTTTGTGTTTAATCTGGTAAGTTAACAGTTATGGTAACTGATAACTGTTAAAAAAAATGTGCTCTTAAAGGTTGCCCTGTCAAGCGGAGATTTTGGAACAACTGTTGAAGAGGTTGATGCCCAAGTCAAGAAACATGATGCATTTGAAAAATTACTTCATACTCAAGAAGAAAAGGTTGCTGCTCTGCAAGAACATGGGGATAAACTACTTGCACAAAATCACTTTGATAGTGCTACCATTAGAAACAGACTAGGAGAAGTTCTTGCTAGAAGAACACGGGTGAAAGACTTGTGTTTTGCTAGGAAGCAAAAGCTTGAAGATGCTCTATTGCATGCACAGTTCATGAGGGATGTTGCAGAGGTAAGGAATATTCTTGTAGTGTAAGTTGTGAATGATCTTACTGCTGTGAATTTTGGATATTGAATTGTTTTGCTTTGAGATGTTTACTGTCAAGAATTGATATAAGGAACACAAAAGGTTTAGAGATATAATAAACACCTCTACTTAACTGTAGAAAAAACACAAATCTGGTTTATGTCATCAGAATAGTTGGATAAACATTTATCAACTGATGAATTGAAACTTTTGATTAATGCTAGGGTGTATAACTTCTATTGGATGAGAAAATCATATTTTAAATTATCTTCATTAATTTACTGATGACAAGTACAGAAATTTGTTTGTAAAGGTATGCCAAAAATAACTCATTTTTGGCTGGAATTCTGTTTGAGATAACTGTATTCTGCTTCCAAAATATTCAAGTTGGCAGGTGCTGATTTCTTTGAACACTTTGCTTATTTTTGTTTTCAGGCCGAATTATGGATTGATGAGAAAGAAAAGAAATTGGAGGCTGAAGCACATAAAGGAGATGTGTCAAGTTTGGAGGACAAAATTAAGAAATTACAGAAACACCAGGCTTTCCAGGCTGAATTGGCTGCTCATGAGGGACGGATTCAACAAATTAGAGAGAAAGGTAGTTATATTGGAAGATAGTGTATGGAGTGAAAATATTGTATGAAGGGTGGTAACTTGAAAACTGGAAAAAATCAGGGAATTTCATTGCTCTAAAAAAGGTTTGGAAAAAATCAGGGAATTTGTCATTAGAAGTCTCAAAAAACTTTGAGATTGTACATAACTAGACTTTATTACTTTAAAAAATTAGTCCAGCAAAAAATAATGATTCAATTATTATTAAATTACAATTAAACAGACATTGGAAAGCCAGTGAGAAAAATTGCTGTAGAATTGTTTCAATAAAGTTTTGGTATGTTTCTATTATTGACTGCTGATGGGTGTATTTCAAAATGTATTAATTGAAATTACCAGAAAAACAATAATTTCTATGTTTATTTGGTAATACCCAGAAATTCATCATTCATGTCCAAACCCCACTCACTCACTCTGATGGCATACTCTCCAATTTTCTTATCTTTGTTATTTTTTCCTTGTGTACACTTGAGACTTATTTGGAAGATTCTATTACTAAATATAATTTCCTTTCTTCCATGTTAAGGAGAGACCTTGTTAACGAAGAAGCATAAAGCATCACGTGAAATTCGTCAGCAACTCGAACAATTACTTGCAGCATGGCGACACCTCCTGGCCGAATCTAATAATCGTGGTAGAGGATTGGAAGAAGCCCAGGACATTCTTGAATTCAAAAATCAAGTTGAGAAAATAGAAGCATGGATTCGTGATAAGGCATGTCATTTAAATAAAAAAATGTATCTGTAACACAACCTTTTTTTTGAATTTACATTTCTTGTATTTTACATAAGAATTTTCAGAAATAAAAGATTATTTATTAAAATAATTACCTGACAACATGGTTTAGTTATGTTCTCATAAATATTTTAAAATTTAAATTTGTTATACTAATAAATTGTGTTATGTACAGGAAATGATGGTTCAAGCAGGTGACACTGGCAAAGACTATGAACATTGTCAAGCCCTTCAACGAAAACTTGATGATGTTGATTCTGATATGCGTGTTGATGATGGTCGCATGCGTTCAATTAATGCATTAGCTGACAAGCTTATTAGACAAGGCCACAGTGACACTAGAAGTGTGCAGCAACGTCGTGATGAACTTAATTCTAAGTATGTCATAATTATAGTTTCAATGTACTAATGGGATGTAAATGGAAGGGGATGTAAATAATGAAGATATTAATAATTAAAAACGGATTGAATTGTTTAGAGCTTTGATATATATGACATGAGCGAATGGAAAAGTAATATAAATTACAGGTTGCTACAGAAATTGTAACTTGTATGTAAGTAATTCTTTTATGTTCCTAATTTACTAAATTGATTTTGGATTTTCAGATGGAGAGCTCTACAGGGAGCTCTTAGTGCATATCGTAACAAATTAGCTGGAGCTCTAGAAGTGCACGCTTTCAACCGTGATGTTGATGATACAAGTCAGCGTGTATCTGAGAAAGCTGTGGCAATGAGCTCTGATGATGTTGGCCGTGATCTTAATGCAGTTGAAGCTTTACAGCGCAAACAAGAAGCTCTTGAAAGAGATATGACTGCCATTGAAGGCAAATTGAAGGTGTGTATTGTTCTATTCTAAGATCTGAGATTGGGATGCCTATTGATAAGCTTGCCTGGCTACTCGGGTGGAGGAGGCACTACAATAGCAAAATACTTGCTTACCCGATATTGCCATAACCTTAAAGCTACACATTTGCTAGGGAATGAAGAAGAACATAGAGGTTTCATTAAGTCATATTATTATTATTATTATTATTATTATTATTATTATTATTATTATTATTATTA